GGCAGCATCAAAGGAGCAGGAATGTTGATGAAACTCTGATGCTGCCAGCCCTGCTGTGTTCCTCCAGCTCCACACTGTGTTGTCCCTGACTCCAGAATCTGCAGTTCTTGCTATCTCTGAGTGGAGTGCTAGACGTTAAGTCTCTGCTGGTGACCAAGAGTGTTAGACGGTGTGTAAAGTGTTTATAAAGTCAATGTCAGCGCTGTGCTGTCATAACAACCAGGCAGAGCCACAGGAATATACAAAAGGTGACATCTCAGGTCAGACACTAAATTGTAGCTGTGAGGCTTTGTTCAAATTCTGTCTCAGAGTTTTAATCTGGAATCCGGCTGATTTTATTCTGAAAGCTGGAATTTATAAGATGCCATATTGACTCACTGTGACTACAAATTGTGTGTTTTTTGAACGAGATAGAATGTATCTGTAAATAAACACCCCATAGATTTGTGTGTGTGTGTGTGTGTGTGTGTCTCTGAGGGAGGGAGAGAGTGAGTGTGTGTGTGCTTGAGAGAGACTATGTGTGAGTGTGAAAGAGTATATGTGTGTGAGTCTGTGCATTTGTGTGAGAGTTTGTGTGTGTGTGTGAGAGACAGGGTCTGTGTGAGTGAGTGTGTGTGTATGTTTGTGTGAGAGAGAGTGTGTGTGTACACGTGTATGTGTGAGAATGTGCATATGTGTAAGAGAGTGTAGTAAGTAAATCAAAACTGTACAAAAAAATTAAGGTAGAGAGATCATAACAATTTATCAAGGTGGTGTTGTCAAAAGAGGAAAGTAAGGAAGATCTTACAGATACAGAACAGTGTGGTGGGGTCACCTGTAGCACAGCATATTGAGGCCGTCTTCATGGGTACGAAACTTGGCTATTAGTCTCTGCTCGGCGACTCTGCATTGTTGTGTATCTCAGAGACCACCTTGGAGGACAGGAAGAGAACATTCCTGTCTGGTGATTGCTGTGAGGTGTCCATTCATCCATTGCCATAACGTCTGCATGGTCTTCAATGTACCATGCCTTGGGGCATCTTTGCCTGCAGTGTATGAGACATTGGCCAAGTCACATGAGTATTTGCTGTGAATGCGGTGGGTGGTGTTCCCATGTGTGATGGTACTGTCCATGTTGATGATATGACATGTCTTGCAGAGGTTGCCATGGCAGGGTTATGTGGTGTTGTGGTCGATGTTGTCCTGAAGGCTGGGCAGTTTGCTGTAAACGATGGTCTGTTCAAGGTTTGGCAGTTGTTTGAAGGTGAGAAATGGAAATGCAGGGAAGATCTTGGCGAGATGTTCATTGTCCTTGATGGCATGTTGAAGGCTGTGAAGCACATGGTGTAGTCTCTCTGTTCCAGTTTTTCACTGTGGCACATCGGAACCGGCAATCAATGAGTTGAGCATCATATCCTGTTCTTATGAAGGCATCTTTCAAAACCGGTGTCCATTGTCTTTCTCCTCATGTGAGTAGATCCTGTGTATGCGTAGAGCCTGTCTGTAGGGGATGGCTTCTTTAGTATGTTTATGGTGGAAGCTAGAGAAATGCAGCATCGTGAGGTTATCTGTGGGCTTGCAGTAGAGTGATGTACTGAGGTGTCCGTCCCTGATGGAGATGCATGTGTCCAAGAATGGCACTGATTTTGAAGAGTAATCCATGGTAAGTCTGATAGTGGGATGAACCTTGTTGATTTCACTATGTAGCTGTTTCAGTGATTCCTGATTCCTTGAGTCCAAAGGAAGAAAATGTCATCAATGTACCTGATGTATAGCATTGGTTGGAGATCCTGTGCAGCAAAGAAGTCTTGCTCCAACTTGTGCATGAAAATGTTGGTGCATTGGGGTGCAAATTTGGTCCCCATGGATGTTCTGTGTGTCCGGATGAAGAACTGATTGAGAAAGGTGAAGATGTTGTTGTCAAGGATGAAGCGGTTGAGTTGTAGGATGGCGCCTGGAAATTGGCAGTTGTTGGTATTGAGTACTGAGGCTGTTGCAGCGATACTGTCATCCTGGGAGATGCTGGTGTAGAGTACTGAAACATCCATTATGACGAAGAATGTTCCTGATTTCACTGGTCCGTGGATGCTGAGTTTCTGTAAGAAATCTGTAGTGCCATGACAGAAGCTGGGGGCTCCCTGTACAATGGGTTTCAAGATTCCCTCTACATAGCCGAAGAAATTCTCACATAGGGTCCCATCGCCTGGGTACAATGGGTCGTCCAGGTGTATTGGCTTTGTGTATCTTTGGAAGGCGGTACAAGTCTCTTATGCGAGAATTTATTTTTAATCACCTCTCTACCCAACCACCATGCACAGGCAGTGCATGGGTGTGGCCTCCCTGATTTCAGAATTATATTTTGGAAACTGCAGAAATTTTAGAACAAATATAGAGAGTAATTCCAAAACTCTACTGCCAATTCCAATGCAAAGTTTCAAGCATTAATTTTTTCCAACAGCGAGAATTAGGAAAACAGCTGCAACAACCTTTAAAAGATCAGAGTTGAGGTGGACAATTCCAATGAATTGAATCAATGAATTCCAATGAATTCTGGCACTTTTGCCTTGAAACAATAAATATAAAAGTCAGGAAGAGATGTTGAATTCGCACAAGACATTGGATTAGTCACGATTGGACAATAATCTGCAGTTCTAGGCATTGTATCATGGGATGGAATCATCTCCTGCTCTGTGTGGTGTGGACAATGATAAGGAAGTTGGGAAAATACAGTCTGATTAAAAAAACTCAGAGCTTCGGTGCAAACAAAAAATACATACTGCTATGCAAGTCAGAGCAGATAATTAACAGCTAGTGGCTTGTACCAGCCATAATACAACTGTGTCTTCACCATTATGGCCCTGTATGCTTCATTAAAACCATTCTCCTCAACCCTTCATTCATGTACTGTGTGTCGGTGGCAACCACTAACCCCATTATATTGCTATCCTGCCCTCAGGCTAATTCACATACCTAGTTCAACTCAAACACACTTCACTTCAGAGCTCAGGGGCACTTAAAGCTTGCACAATTGAGCCAGGTCACTTTGTGTTGCAGGGACTCTCACACATCCACAAAGGAAACCCTTAACTGGCTTTCTCAGTGCGTACTAAGTTTGCACCAATTTGGAAGTTGCCAGTTTCTATGGTTTGCATTAATGTTTAGCAGTGAGGGAGAGGTAGGCAGCTTGTTATGGTGGGGACTAGTGAATGGATAAGGGAGAGGGCAAACAAAAACAGAAATTGCTGCAGAAATTCAGCAGGTCTGGTATCATCTGTTGAAAAAGCGAGAGAGTTCACCTTTCAAGTCCAGTGACCACTCATCAGGATTGAACGGAGTTCTTTAGGACTGAAGGGAGCGGACATGTCGCTGTGTGGCCCTGTGCTTCATCAACGGCATTCCTGCAGCATGTGTCAGTAGTTCACCTAGCAAACACACTGTGCATGCTTCAAGCAAATGACCATTTCTGAAAGTCAAGAGTGATACTGGGGTCAAGGGGAACTACAGTCAGTCAGATGTCACTGCTACAGTCAGCCAGTGGGCACTTCCAGTTCCAGACCACAATCAGTCAGACCTTTGTCCAATCAAAGCATGGAAATTTGTGTCCTTGCAGTCAGAAATTGGACCATGGTCAGTTCTGCAGATCAAGTACAGGCATTGCACGGATAATAGGTAGGACAATCCTTGCACTATGGACAGATCTGGGGGCCAGCCCAACTTTTCCTGTAAAGACACACAAGGAGAAATTGAGTGAGGGGTGACCTATACAAGTTTATAAAAATCATGAGGGGCATGGACAGGATGAATAGCCGAGGTCTTTTTCCTAGGGTAGGGGAGTCCAAAACTAGAGGGGAAAACTAAAACATAAGTTTATGCTGACAGGGAAAAGACTTAAAAGGGACTTGGGGGCAACTGTTTCATGCTTGAGGGTGGTACATATATGGAATGAGCTGCCAGAAGATGTCGTGGAGGCTGGTAGAATTACAACATTTATAAGGCATCTGGACGGGTATGTGAATAGAAAGGGTTTAGAGGGATATGGGCCAAACACTGGCAAATGGGACTAGATTTATTTAAGATATCTGGTCGGCATGGACGAGTTGAACCAAAGGGTCTGTTTCCATGCTGTACAACTCTGTGACTCTACAAGTATGATGGAAGTGGATGGAAGAGGAGCGACACAGGAACAGGAGAGATGGAGAGGTGTCCCCAGTGAATGAGCACAGAGGGCAGGAAGGGTTAGTAGTTGGGACGGTGAGGTGGGTGAGAGCTATGGAACTGACAATGTTGCATGCATGAGTGAGAGTAAGACTCCATGGATTTTGGTGAGAAGTGTGCATAGTGGCAGAGTAAGCGTGAGGGCTGGCCCTGTGAGTGCGAGGCAGCAGAGAGAAGCTGGTGGCACTTACCCTTGCTAAGCACAGGTGGTCACTGAGCACTGTTGCATGTCTCTTTTAAATCAGAAACAGAACTGGCCCTGGCCATATCCTGCTCCAGGTGGAACAAGTACAATGGTATCTCAAGAACGCACCACCATCAAGTCCCTTTTCAAACTGCACACAATATTGACTGTGACATCTATTGCTGCTCCTCCACCGCTGGAATTTCTGTGCACAATCAGCACCTGAACAGCAGCAATTTAAGACAAAGCCCAACCACCTCCTCCTGAGGACCACTCAGGACAGACACTAACTTCTTTTTTAACCCAGCAATGTAGCAGTTCAAGAACAAATTTTAAAAATGGTTTCCTTCTGTGTTGTTATTTTATGATTCTTTGGGTGAGGAGGTATTCAGAGGTAAAATCATATATCAAAATGCAATCCAACTTTTTAAACTTATTGGACATGATCTGTAGAAATATACTTTTAAAAGTGTAATGGGTACTTGGCCAACACTGACTAACATTGCTGCATTTTCGTTCATTTTCTTTTCAACAGCCTTGTCAACAATGCTCACATCCCAAAGATGCAAAAGTAATAAGAATTCAAAACCAGAGCTAGCTGATGGCGAATTACACTTCACAATTCGAAAGGTGTAACATTTATTTGTATTTTTGCATGCGGAGACCTCCAATTTTCTGAAAGTGTAATGCGTACATGTAGCCCTTAATTCACTTACATACTCCAGTACTTAAAAATTGTGAAAACTTTACAGTCTAACATTGATTTTTCTTCCAGCAATTGATAATTTTTGATTCATTCACAATAATTCATACAAAAATAATTTCATGTTTATAAAATAGATCATGGCATCAGAATAAATTACAATGATTATATAATTCCTCACTCTGTATGTACAAACCAAGAAACAGTAGTAAATGGATTCACCATATTTCCACAAGACGGAAGAAAAGATACATTTATGCAATTTAAGGCAGCTTTCTTTTCAGTCAAAGGCTACTGTAACAAATTCTAGTGATCAACACTACCTATAGATCAACATTGAAGCATTAAATATTAAGGTTTGATGTTACTCTGGAAGCAAATCTGATTTGAGATTACTACAGATTTCATAAATAGGTACAGAATGATATTCTGATATAAAGGAATTGCATTATTTTTCAGTAAAGCTCCCTCTTCTGGCGATGCAATATGAAACCAAGCGGTAAAACCTGGCAATCAAACTTGTTGTTAAGAGATATACCAAGGGTGGTGCTGTGAGGTATGAATTTAAATGGCAAGACTTAAAACAGAAAATTTTTTAACAAAGCTATGTACAACATAATAAACGCTATCTAGTAATGCAATATTGGCTACAATATCATACATCTCAGTTACAGAATTGGGATATCATCAGTATCCTTGGTTGGCTAATTGTGTAATGCATTCTGTAATTTATAGGCTTTAATGTCATCTTCAATTTTCACTTACTTTAAAAAGCTGAAGTAAAGCCAGTCTCAGAAGGCAGAATTTACAGTCTATACATAAACAACTATGAAGTTGCCTATTTATTCATTGTTGCAGATCTAAATTAAGGTTACATCAGAATGGAAAATAGTAAAGCAACCATCTGAATGTAAATCTAACCTATAATTTATAAAAGTTATAACACAAACTTTTGATGTGGACCAAGATTTCTTTGTCATGATAAGACTTTAACTGAATCCCTTTAAAATATCAACCTGAGATTGCAACTTGTGTTTAAGAGCAACAGCTTTTTTGCTCCTGAAATGGTAAACCCCACAAAAAAAAATATTGGCAATGTCAAGAAATAAATCAGTCATGAATACAAAGGGTACTGAAAGGCAGTGTTACTTTCCACCTTCAGCTTCACTCATGCTTCTGGTTTTTGATGCGTACAGAAAGCACAATCTGTCATTCATAAAATTATGTTCAACATCACAAGCTCTTCTGCTTTGGTAGTGGCACTTGTTGAGAAATGACTGAATGGTGGTTTGAAGCAAGTTTGTATTGTTCTTGTCCTGAACCTTGTGGAGGAGATGGTAGTGGGGTTTCTGGTGTAGCTGAAGAGGAAAAAAAGTACATAATAAAGCTATAGTTATAGTCATGTATGGAGTTTTAAATGGCAAATATGTCTAATGAGCTAAGAAAAAATAAATTAATGTTTGTTTTCATACAATCTGCACAGCAGAATTTTTACTTAAATCATTTGTGGGTGAAGTGTTGTATACTATATAAAAACCAAAAAAAACTGCGAATGCTGTAAATTAGAAACAAAAATAGAGATTGCTTGAAAAGCTCAGCAGGTCTGGCAGCATCTATGAAGAGAAATCAGAGTTAACGTTTCAGGTCCAGTGACCCTTCCTCAGGACTGATGGTAGCTAGGAAGATGCTGGTTTACATGCAGATGACAGGGTGGGGGGAGAGGTTCAGGAGTAAACGATAGGTGGGGATACAGCCCAAAGAGAGAGAACAACAGTTGGACAGATAAAGGAGTGGATAACAATCTGGCTGGGAGAATGAATAGCTGTTAACGGGGACCGATAGTGGCTACAATAGGTAGCGTGTAATGGCAGTCTATGTGATAATAAGGCTTGGTGTTTGGGGGTGGGGACTGGGACATGGGAGAGTTCAGGCCCTAAAATTATTGAACTCAATATTGAGGCCAGAGGACTGCAGCGGCCCCAAGTCGAAAATGAGGTGTTGTTCTTCCAGCTTGTGCTGAGCTTCACTAGAACACTGCAGCAAGCCTGAGACAGAGATGTCGGCCGGGGAACAGGATGGTGTGTTAAAGTAGCAGACAACTGGAAGCTCAGGGTCTTTTTTGCAGGCTGAACATAGGCATTCTATGAAGCAGTCGCCCAATCTATTTCCCCAATATAGAGGAGACCACATTGTGAGCAGCAAATGCAATAGACTAATTTGTGGGAAGTGCAGGTAAAATGTGGCTTCACCTAGAATGTATACCTGGGCCCTTGGATACTGGGGAGGGAGGAGGTAAATGGGCAGGTGTTACACCTTTGGCTGTCGCAGGGGAAGGTGCTATGGTACTGTGGGGCATAATTGGGAATGAAGGAAGAGTGGACCAAGGTGTCCCAGGAGGAATGGTCCCTGCAGAAAGTGGACAAGGGAGGGGATGGGAATATGTGTCTGGTGGTGGCATCTTGCTGGACGTGGTGGAAATGGTGGCTGATGATCTCCTGGATGTTGATGCTGATGGGATGGTAGGTAAGGACAAGGGGAACCCTATTGCTGTTGCGGGAAGGAACAGGTTCTGAGGAAAGGTCACTGGATCCAAAACGTTAATTCTGATTTCTTTTCACAGATGCTGCCAGGCCTGCTGAGTTTTTCCAGCAATTTCTGTTTTTGTTGTTGTTGTAATACTAAATCTCTGGAATACTAAAACTTCATCTATTATGAAATTCTAGTTTCCTAAGTCCATAAGACTCCTCTTTATTTCCATCATTTTTAATGTGCACAATGTTCCATATGGTTCCTCAGATCATATCACAAAGCAATAAAGTTCTGACGCTAAACAAAAACAGAAATTGCTGGAGAAACTCAGCAGGTTTGGCAACATCTGTGGAGAGAGAAAATGCTTAACGTTTTGGGTCCAGTGTCCCTTCTTCAGAACTCAGCTCAAAATATTAACTCTGTTTATTCTCCACAGATGCTGCCAGACCTGCTGAGTTTCTCCAGCAATCTGTTTTCATTTCAGATTTCTACCATTCGCAGTTCTTTGTTCTATTTTAATCTGTTGACGCTGACTTAGCAGCCATCTGCTTGTTTCTGCCTCGAGTTCTGGCATCCTACATTCTACATTCCACAAACTTGAGGTCATCCAAAACATTGGTGCCATGTTCCTATTTACACCACATCACATTCACCTATCACCTCCTGTGTTCAGTGACTTGTATGGACTCCAAGGCAATGCCTTGTCTACTCAAAATCAACTTAATGACGAATCATCATGCTTTTCTCATGCAGCGTAAATACTTGTGACAATCTTGCAATGTGTCCTGATGAGTACAAGGCATAAAGCTTCAATACCGTGTTTCTTTTGGTCAGCGATACTCAAGTTCTATGCTCGGTTTCTGAAGCCTACATCTGTTTAGGTTTTTATCTTGACACAATGACGCTGTTCTACAAATTGATTCTGTAGATGTAGAAAGGTAAGATGCATTTCACAGGGAGTAACCTGCCATAGTCGTAGAACAATTAAGGAACACCACACACCTTACTTTTCAAGGCATTTCACTTTTATTACTACTTCACTTAACATTATCCCTCTCAAAATATAGGTAAAAGGTAAAGTTGCCATAGTCTCAGAGGTCGATAGCACTGCTCTCTTGTTAGAAAGAGATGACCAATGGTGGTTTAACCTGAGGGTCACCATGCATTAGGCAAGGGTAGAGTTTGAGAAGGTGGGATCTTCATAGTATACAGTATACTTTATGGCAAGAAAATCAAAACAATACTCTTGCTAGCAAATTTTACAGTACACGGACTAACACCTTGCAGCATCCTGAAAGGTACAGGTTTAATCAATCCTTTATGCTTTTGCCCAAATTTTGCTTGTTTTGTTCAAAGCATCATCAAAACTGTTTAATTGAATTAGGCAGCAGTCCACATATAGCTGATGAACATAACCATTTGCAACAAACAAAACCTATAATCCTGAATTCAAATAGGAAACCAAGTTGTGCTCATACCTTTTTAATCAGATAATTAATATTGTTGTAAATGATTGATTTGATTTGGGATTTGGGATTACTGCAAACACCTGCTGATGTTTCTAATCACTGTGGTGGATTTGGAAAAGGCTGTAGCTGAGTTGAATTGGTTTGAGGAGTAGCTGGTGCAGTGAGAATTGTGCCTATAGTAGCTGGTGCTGAACAAGACCAGGATTTGGTGTCAACTGTAAAGGTATGAGAGGATCCTGATAAATAATTTTGCTAAATGGTATTCTGCACTCCCATTTACATGTAGTGCTGCCTGTTCCATAAGGTACAAATAAAAATAAATAACCTGCATTTATATAGAGCCAGTCAACATCTAAGCAATCCCAAAGTGATACAATTATGACAGGACTTTCGGTGCATAGTCACTGCTACAACGTAGGGAACACGTAAGTAACTATGTGCATAGCAAGGTCTCAAAAATGGCAAATAAATAAAGTGACTAAGATCCCTCCTTTAAGTACAATGGAATCTTTTACATCAACCAGGAAAGGCAGAGTGAAAGAAAATTGACACTTAATGGAATAAAGTATGGCTCATCAACATATGGACTACAATATAAACTGTAAATAAGATGCCATCGTAAGGCAGTTCCCATTGTAGGTGTGTGCCATGGCTTAATGTTAGCGGTTTTGCCTGTCACTCAGAAGAAGATGCAATCCAGAGACTAATACTCAAACTATGCCGATACCTTGGTGCCAATTGAGAAACTGTTGGAAGTGTTTCAAATGGGATGTTAAACTGAATCCCTAGTGCTCAGATGGATGTAAAACTTCCCACAATCCCTGTTCAGAAATCAAAAGTGGCCTCCATGTTTTGGGCAACACATACCGCTCAATATACACAGATTAATGAGTCAATTCTCCCCTCGTTTTCCACAAAAAATTAGTTGCTAGAATTTCATAGTATGCAACAGTAAATGAATTTCAAGAGTACTTTGCTGGGTGGTAAAGTACTTTAGGACTTCCGAAAGAAATAAAAGGCACTGCATAAATGTAAATTATTTCCTTCTACTTGCTTCTGCATTTTATTGCTGTATTACCATCATTGGATTTAAATAGTTTCATTAGTGACTCAACATATTACAATTCCAAATTAAAAGCATGCGCACTGCTGTACATAAAGAAGACTTACACATTGGTTCAGTGTGAGCTGCTGCTGGCATCGAACTGATCAATATGGTTTGGCCTGTCAGTGGATCTTGAGCTACATGAGGATGCCCAGGATGATGAAGGTGGGATGGGTCACTCGTTGTACCTGCAAAGGGCGAAAATAAAAGAATATTCTAAAATATGACCTTGATGTAATTATGTTTATTTAAACAAATGATAATAAATATTTCCAGAATGAACATTAATAGATCAATTTCTTTTTTGGCGAACACTCTCTGGAAAAACCATTTTTTTTCCTTGATTTATAAATGAAACACAACAATGAAACAGAAATTTGAAGCTATTAAAATAACTATACGGATATCCAGCTGTGTAAATACACACTATGGGCTTCTGTACACTGAACACTCACTAAAACTGGAGGGAACTGGAAACTGTTCAATTCGAGTCAAACAAAAATGTGAGTTGATGCTGGGGCACTTTGTCAATGTGATTGGAAGACAATACATAATTTTGCAACTATTCTTATTAACTAGTCAAGTGAAAGTTTCACTTGAACATTCAACTATAGCTTTCTAAAAGAATAAAACAATGGTGTGCTGATGCAATCATTATATCGAGTTAATGATCAGTTGTGCTTACTTAATTTGTGAGAGCAAAGTTACACAAATTCCAGGATTACAAAATAATTATGCACATATTTTTTAAAATTAATATGTGATTTCATATAACTATGTCAGACTGTTGTTTCACTAATCTTTGGAAAAGTTCTACCTCTACCTCAGAGAGTCGAGTTGTTGAAGGGTGATTGAGCAGAGATTTCCCTTGATTAAATATTGGGAAAACTGAAGCTATTGTCTTTGCTCCCTGCCACAAACTCTGCTCATCACTACTGCTTCCATTAATTTTCCTGACAAACTGAGACAGACTATTCACTATCTTGGCATCAGTGAGCTATCAAATACATACCTGTGCAATCACTTGACTGCCTATTTCCACCGCATAACCTCTTCCTGTTTCTGCCTGTGCCTCAGCTCTCCAGTTGCTGAAACCCTCAGCCGTGCCCTGTTACCTCCTGACTTGATTGCTCAGTAACACATCTCTGGCTCACCTTTCATATTCTATTCTCTACATGACTTTAAGACTTCCCATACATGCTTCCAATGTCTAGATGTTTTTCACCTATGCTTACTGACCTATACTGGATCCTGGTTTATCAATATCTCAGTATTACATTTTTATCCTTATTTTCAAATCTTACCATGGTCTGACTATTCCCTGCCTCTCTAATCTCATCTGAACCTGTCACTATCCAAGACATCTGCACTCCTCTAACTCCAGCCTCTAAAGCATCACTGATTTTACTTGTTTCACTATCAGTGACTGTGTCTGCAAATGCTGGTGCCAATGTTTTGGATTTTCCTCCTTAAATATCATGACCTCTTTAATTCTCTTTCCTCATTTGAGACATTTCTTAACACCTATCTCATTGTCTTTTCTCACATGAAGTGTTTCCAGTTTTAAGAACACCAAACTGGAGGAACCAAGTAAAGACACAATGATTCATCCCAAGAAATAACAGTTGTCAGTGGAATACTTTAATGACTACAGTTGGTGGCTGTGTACAGAATAGTATTTGGAGAGGCATGAGTCATCAGCAAACTTTCAAACTATGCTTCTATAAGAAAAAAATTAGAAAAAATAATTTCTAAAATGGATTGGTGAAGCAGGGTGGCTCATGAAAAGCCAATTTACATCGCTTGCAATGTTCATCTGTCCTACAAAAAACATAAGAAATTGACCATAAATGGCAGTCGCAATGAGATGACTGGCAAGAGATCATATAGGAGTTCGCTCAAACTGCCGCTGAGAATTCGGTCCAATTCCTGTTCACACAACTGTCTGAAACTGTCCACTAAATTTCTTACAAAGTTACAGTGCCCAGCCAGGAGATTGTGCGTGGAGTATCCCTGCAACATTCCAGAAGTAAAAGATTAAATAGGAAAACACTGGCGCCGTTTGAGTCTTACACTGGATTATTCAAAGTGTTGTACAATTGGATTTATATGCTACAAAATGATATATACCTCCCAGCAGCATTTCTTGGAGCAAGTTGTCAATTTTAGCGAGTCCAAAAAGTTTGACAAATTGAATTTGTTCGATCATTTGCCAAGTTATACTTTGAAGAGTAGGTAATAGCAGTAGCAATTCTCCAAATCGCCCTCTGGAATCATACTGTCGATCATTAATGTAATCTTCCAAACTAACTTGCACTTGGTAACGCATATTCTTGATTTTTGATGGATTGTTTAAAGCCTTTGCATCTGCAGGAAATGAAAACAAGATAAAACGAAATTTGGACTTATATTCGTCACGAGGGGATTTGAAGGCTCCAAACAACAGCATTACACATACTCGGGTAGACGTTAAAGTACAAGTTGTCCAACAGCAACTTAACTTTTATAGTTAGGATTTGTTGAGTAAAGTATTGGTGGTGCAAAAGAAGTTTTACTGTGTAACTCCTGTCTGCGGATAATACAGGTCATTGTCCAAAAGAAACGAACAGAAGAGAAAGGGCTAAATGCAAGTCATTTCACAACATGTGCCGCTGTCCACACTGTCAAATTAATAAACTATTGCTAATTATTTCAAATGTAATGCTGATTAGACAATACAGCATTATTTTTGCACAAAGGTAGAATCTGCATTCACCACAAACTTTGAAGACAGTTCCCAAACCAAAGTTTTCATTTGACTGCACCTGCATATGTAAACACTAACATTGTGTGCGATGAACCTCGATCATGCACCTAAAAATTTGAACTTTTCTCTTTGCTTATTTGCACAAGGCGGTTCCACATTACAGGAGAAAACAATTTTTATGGGAGGAAGCCCCATGGCTGACCAAATACGGAATTTGAGAAAGTGACTACATTGATCACGGGGCAAAGGACACAGGGGAAGGATCTGATATTGAAACTGAAGGCTTTTCCCTTTTACAAGGTATGTACCACCTTCAATTTGTTTTGCTTTCTCACTTTTCTTTTGATGGATATCAGAATATATACAGTAAATCACAAGACTGTGTGCACATTATATTACAACATGCATTTCATAAGACAGAGGAGAGAAGTATACCATCCAGCTCATCAAGTCTGCTCTGCCATTCAATGAGATCCCCTCAAATCCACTTCCCTCACTTTTCTCCATAACCCTTGATTTCCTTACAGGTTAAAAATCTGTCTATCTCAATCGTGAATGTACTTAATGACCCAGCCTCTACACCCCTTGGTGAAGAAAAAAATTCCTTTGAAATAAGAAATTCCACCTCATCTCAGTCATAAATGGATGAAGCTTTATGGCCTGTGGTCTCCCTCTCCCATAAGGGGAAATAATCTCTTTGCATCTACCCTGTCAAGCCCACTAAAAATCCTTTATGTTTCAATAAGGTCACCTCTTATTTTTCCTGTTCCAATGTGTGCAGGCCCAACCCATTCGTTGTCTCCTCAAAAGAAGTTCCCTCCATACCCAGGATCAATTTAGTACCAGATTGTCCCTCCTTTGATGAAGAGACAAAAACTGTACAGAGAATTCTAGGCATGGTCCAATTAGCGCCTTGTAAAAGTTTAGCTACCTTTTATACTCCATTCCCATTGAAATAACGAGCAGCACTCCATTTGCCTTCCTTACTTTCTGCTGAACTTGTATGCTGGATTTTTGTAATTTATGCATGAGGATTCCCAAACCTATTTGTGCTGCAGCTTTCTCCAGTTTTCACCATTTAAACAATGTTCAGTTCTTCTATTTTTTTCTGCTTAAGTTCATAACCTCATTTTCCCACATTATATTCCACAGGCCAAGTTTTTGGCCATTCACTTAACCTGTCTTCGTCCTTCTGTTGTCTCTTTGTGCCATCCTTACCACTTCTCTTCCCATCTATTTTTCATCTAAGTTATTAATATATACTGTAAACCTCTGCGGTCCCAGCACTGATCCCTATGGTATACAAGTTGCTATCCTGAAAATGTCCCTCTTATCCCAACTCTCTCTCTTCTGTCAGTTAGCCAATCCTCTATCCAAGGTGTAATACTATATCCAAAATTATTTGACAAGAGTTGCTATGTTATAACTTTTCAAGTGCCTACTGAAAATCCAAACATTTCATATTCACTGGTTTCACTTTATCTATCCTGCTTGTTATTTTCTTAAAGAATTCAAATAAATTTGTCAGGCATGATTTCCTTTTCATGAGACCGTACTGAATCGGCTTCGTTATTTTATTTATTCTATATGTAATAAGCACAAGATAGGGTGGTGAAGAAGGCATACAGCATGTTTGCCTTTATTGGTTGGGGAATTGAGTACAAGAGTCAGGATATCATGTTGCAGCTTTATAAGACTTTAGTTAGGCCACACTTAGAGTATTGTGTTCAATTCTGGTAATTACATTACAGGAAGGATGTGGAAGGTGCAGAAGAGGTTTACCAGGATGCTGCTGGATTAGAAGGTACGAAATATAAGGAGAGGCTAGAAAAGCTCGGGTGGTTTACTCTTGAGTGGCGGAGGCTGAGGTGAGACTTGATAGAAGTCTATACAATTATGACATGCATAGATAGTGTTGACGGTCAGAATCTTTTTCCCCAGAGTAGAAATGTCTAATACGAAGGGGCATGCATTTAAGGTGAGAGGGGGAAAGTTCAAAGGAGATGTGAGGAGCAAGATTTTTACACAGAGAGTGGAAAGAGTCTGGAATGCACTGCCAAGGAAGGTGGTGGAGGCAGATACGATAGGGGCGTTTTAAAGGACTTTTAGATAAGCACATGAATACGCAAGAAATGGAGGGATATGGATGAAGGAAAGGCAGAAAGGATTAGTTTCAGTGGCATTATGTGGGGCTGAACATCGTGAGCCGAAGGGCCTGTTGCTGTGCTGTACAGTTCTATGTTCTATGTTCAAAGATCTATTTTCTTTCCAACTGTGTCTCAGGAAATTCAATAATCCTGACCAATTCTGCACCTACAGCATGTGTATCTTTCACTTCTATCACTGCAAGCATTAACGCAGATGTAGGAAGATGTAGCAGGGTTTATCCAGGAATCCATCAAACATAAGTGACCAAGAATATTAAATCTAGAGCAATGCCTTTTAAACACATCTTCACAGAGATCAGCCATAATCTGATAGAATCATAACTCAGGACTGAATGGCTTATCTTTTTTTCCTAACTGTTATCAGAGGAGGAAAAGGAAATTGTTACTTGAAGGACCAACTCAGATCTGTCCTCATCTATTGAGCCCAGAAATTTGAATGTCATGAAACCTGCTTTTACAAGGAACGATGCTTTTTCAGCAAAGAACCTTACTACAGTTATTGACAATCGCATAGCTAATGTGAAGATGGTCATTACCTGCAGCTATATTGTGTTAAACAGAAGTGTACATTAGCACAGACATTTGCATAGAACACCCACAGGCAGAGATTGTGATTTCCTGCGCATCTCATGAATGTTCAGGTGGTTTCTATAGAGGTTTTGAGCTGCGAACTGGAAGCTGCGTTCTTGTCCAGTTTCAACCTTCTGGGAGCGCTTTGGTTCGATCCCAGCCTTGGCCAACTGTCTGTTTGGAGTTTGCACATTCTCCCAGTGTCTGCGTGAGTTTCTGTCAGGTGCTCTGGTTTCCTTCCACAGTCCTAAGACGTGTAGGTCAGGTGGATTGGCCATGTTAAAAGTCCCACGTGAGGACGTGGGTCTGGGTGGGATATTTTTCAGAGGGTTGGTGCAGACTCAATGGGCTGAATGGCCACTTTCTGCAAAGTAGGATTCTATGATTCTACAACAGTTACTCAGTTTCATTGATCCCATCAAATCTATTGTCATGGTAATTAAAGTGCTGAGACAATACCAAGTATAAGTGAGTAGCTGGAACTAGTTCAGATGAAGGTGTTAAAGCACATTCAAAAGCTCACCCTCATGCAAGTTTGCAGTACAATGTTATTATTTTAAATCTTGGATTTAAAAGGTAAGGAGAAATAGATTTGAGTTTTCGGTTCTATGAAGACTTGTTTATTTTAATGAAAGGTCAGGCAGTCATCTTGATCATTGAACTAAAGACAATTTTTTCCAAGAAAGCATGTGTTTTAAGATAAATGGTCCAATCAGCTAACGCAAAGGTTAATTGCTGAATGTTTAGAAAGTTGAGACCTTGTGATACAGAAACAGATGGTCAGGGGCCATTAGTAGGTTGAGCTCAGAAGAAGAGAAGACATCATAGCATCTTGAAATAAGTAACATAACAAGAAATGATCATGGATGAGAGGATGCAGAATTTATATGGGTGGAATTGAGAAATACAAGGGGAAGAAGATGCTGGTAGGAATAGTCCAAAGGTCCTAAAAAGTGACCATATGGTAGGACAGAGAATAAATGAGAAGATAACGATGACAAGTGAAAAGGCCAGTTTATAAAACATGGATGACTTTCAGAACCAAATTACTGCAGATGCCAGAATCTGTACTGAAAACAAAATATGCTGGAACTCACAGCTGGTTTGGCAGCATCCGTGGAGAGAGAACAAGCTAACGTTTTGAGTCTGGATGACTCTGCATAGAGCTGAAAGTCATGGGTGACTTTAATCTTTCTTAGATTTAGAAAGTCAATTTGGCAGAGTCTTACATGAGGAAGAATTCAGGGCAGTTTCATAGACTGACAAATTGTGGATCCAACCAGGAGTCAGGCTATTTTAGATGGGGTGACGAATATTGAGATGGGTTTAATCAATGATCTCAGACTAAAAGATCCCCTTGAAAACAGTGACTATAACATTGTAGAATTTAACTTTCAGTCCAAAGTAGGCCCTTGGATCAGAAACAACTGTGCTAAACTTAAATAAGGGTAATTGCAGAGGAATGGTGGCAGACTGAGCTGGAGTGGACTGGGAAAGGAATTTGGCATCAAAGGCATTTGAGGGATAATGGCAGATATTTAACAAAATAGCTCATGGCCCACAACAAAAATGTATCCCAGTGAGAAAGAAGGTTTCTAGGGAGAGGAGAAGCCAATCATGGTTAACCAGGGAAGTTCGCAGAAGCATCAAATTTAAAGGTGAAACATACAATATGGCAAAGATTAGTGAGAATCCAGATGATTGTGAAAGGTCTAAAAACCAATAAAGATCACCAAAAAAGGAAGAAAACAAACTTTAAAGGTAAATGTGCAAGTAATATTGAGATGGACAGTAGGAGTGTCTTTAACTATGTTGAAAGGAAGAGAAATGGATCAGTTCCAGGACCTCAGCTTCTTATAATCTGTAATTAATGACCCAGTCTC